AATTACAACAGCACAACAAGAGAGAGGAAACAAACAAGGACATCTAATCACCTCTCAACAAAAGTTTGCTCCAGGCAATGACAGGCCATCAAATGCTAATCAAGGTGGTCAGTTGAAACATTCCCACCTAGCTCCAGCAGACAAGAGTCCTTTGTCCCACCCTGATCCTTCCACAGATATATAAACCCTTTTTCCTAGTTCCAACAGACTTCAGTACCTCTGAGGATGCTTGCCATAGATGCAGGCGAAACGTCAGGAGAGAATGCCTCTAGACCATGGCCATATAGCCTGAAAAAACCTACAACAACCAAGTGATTCCGGCCATGAAAGCCTTCGACAATACATATGCAGTTCAACAATTTGGTTTCCTCCTGACACGATAAATAAATAAACCAGCTGCTAGGTTCCGGGAGTGGAAGGCCAAAATATCTGGGGAGCCACAGGTTGAGAACCACTGCTTACCGCAGCGTTTGACACCGTCGACTATGATCTAATGATTCACCGTCTTGCCATGTCCGGGGTTCGTGGTCAGGCCCTCAATTGGTTCAACTCATTTCTCCGGAACCGGAGTCAACGCGTGGAGTACATGGATCAAGTCTCCGATAGATCCTCCCTCCTATGTGGGGCAAGGTGCAATTCTCTCTCCTCTTCTCTTCAACATCTACGTTAGACTCCTTGCTAGTTTGGCTCGGAGTTTCGGCCTGGACTGCTACCAATATGCGGACGATACCCAACTCCTTCTGCGTCTGGAGCCTGAAGCAACGCCAATTCCAGACAATTTCATCCTATGTCTGGAAGCTCTGTCGAACTGGTTACGTGCTAGCAGACTGAAGGTGAACCCAGTGAAGACTGAGATTCTCTGGCATGGCCGGCCAGCAGGTCTGACTCATCCATTGCCCACCTTCGATGGTGCCGCCCTATCTCCATCGACCACTGTTAAGAGCTTAGGTGTCATCCTGGATTCGCAGGTGACAATGGAAGCTGCCAGCAAACAGGCCTTTTTCCATCTACGACAAGCGAGGCAATTGGCACCCTACCTATCTGAGGAGGCTCTGGCAACTGTCTTCCATGCCACGGTCACGTCTAGGCTGGACTATTGCAACGCCCTGTATGTTGGCCTTCTGATGTCTACGACCCGAAAGCTCCGTATTGTTCAGAATGCGGCAGCCAGGCTACTCACAAGAACGCCCATGAAACGCCATATAACACCAGTGCTGCAACATTGACATTGGCTTCCAACTGAGTACCGTGGCCTGTATAAGATGCTAGTTCTGACCTTTAAAACTCTTTACGGCCAGGGTCCATCGTACCTTAGGGACCGCCTCTCCTTCTCCCATCATTGGAGGTCGCAACGACCAGCCCAATGTGACTTACTCCATATACCGGGTCCTAGAGAAGGGCGTTTGGAAAGGACCAGGCACAGATGGGCTTTCTCTATTTCTGCCCCTGCCTTATTGTGGAATTCCTTGCCGCCCTACATGAGAGCCATGCGTGACTTAGGGCCTTTTACTCTCGCACTTAAGACCTGGCTTTTTACTAGAGCATTCGATCTCTGTTGATTTTTAATTTTTGTATGTATGTATTTTATCTTTTATAATTTAGCTGTAAATCGCCTAGAGCATTCTCGGATGGAGGGCGACTAATAAGTTATTAAATGATGATGATGGTGAGTTCAGCAGTGGAACTCTCTGCCCCGGAGTGTGGTGGAGGCTCCTTCTTTAGAAGCTTTTGAACAGAGGCTGGATGGCCATCTGTCGGGGGTGATTTGAGTGCAATATTCCTGCTTCTTGGCAGAATGGGGTTGGACTGGATGGCCCATGAGGTCTCTTTCAACTCTTTGATTCTATGATTCTTACAGTGATGTTTGTGAATTTCCTTCTGTACCTATTGATAGGAAACCGAAAAGCTTGCTCATCTGAGGTGACTGCTGTTGTGTGATTTCAAGTCTGACTTGGAGAAACATTAAGGCAAACCTTCCTTAAAGTTTCCTTGGCCAGATTTGTTCGTAGAGGGTTTGCCATCCCCTTCTTTTGGGGCTGAGAGAGAATGACTTGTCTGAGGTCACCTGGAAAACTGTGTCCAGAGGAGGGGAACTCAAATGATCAAGGGTCTGGAGAACAAACCCTATGAGGTACGGCTTAAGGAGCTGGGCATGTTTAGCCTGAAGAAGAGAAGGCTGAGAGGAGACATGATGAGGGCCATGTATAAATATGTGAGAGGAAGTCATAGGGAGGAGGAGGGAGCGAACTTGTTTTCTGCTTCCTTGGAGACGAGGACGCAATGGAATAATGGCTTCCAACCACAAGAGAGGCGATTCCATCTGAACATGAGGAAGAACTTCCTGACTGTGAGAGCCGTTCATCAGTGGAACTCTCTGCACCGGAGTGTGGTGGAGGCTCCTCCTTTGGAAGCTTTTAAACAGAGGCTGGATGGCCATCTGTCAGGGGTGATTTGAGTGCCATATTCCTGCTTCTTGGCAGAATGGGGTTGAACTGGATGGCCCAGGAGGTGTCTTCCAATTCTATGATTCTATGAATCCTTGACATGCGAGTGTGGAGAAGAGCAAACCACTGACCACCTGCTGCAATGCACCCTGAGCCCTGCCACATGCACAAAGGAGGACCTCCTTGCGGCAACACCAGAGGCACTCCAAGGGGCAGATACTGCTCAAAGGATATTTAATCAACTACCAAGCTTGCAAACTCTGTGTCTTTTCTCTGTTTCTCAGTTCTTGTGGGTTTTTTCGGGCTATATGGCCATGTTCTAGAGGCATTTCTCCTGACGTTTCGCCTGCATCTATGGCAAGCATCCTCAGAGGTGAGGTCTGCTGGAACTGGGGAAAAGGGGGTTTATATATCTGTGGAATGACCAGGGTGAGACAAAAGGCTTTTGTAAGTTGGGCTAGGTGTGAATCTTTTCAACTGACCACCTTGATTAGCATACAATGGGCTGACTGTGCCTGGAGCAAACTCTTCTTGAAAGGTGATTAGATGTCCCTGCCTGTTTTTCTCTCTGCTGTTTTTGCTGTTGCAATTTTAGAACTTTTTAATATTGGTAGCCAGATTTTGTTTATTTTCATGGTTTCCTCCTTTCTGTTGAAATTGCCCACATGCTTGTGGATTTCAATGGCTTCTCTGTGGAGTCTGACATGGTGGTTGTTGGTGTGGTCCAGCATTTCTGTGTTCTCAAATAAAATGCTGTGTCCAGGCTGGTTCATCGGGTGTTCTGCTATGGCTGATTTCTCTGGTTGAAGTAGTCTGCAGTGCCTTCCATGTTCCTTGATTTGTGTTTGGCCAATCCTGCGTTTGGTGGTCCCTATGTAGACTTGTCAACAGCTGCATGGTATACGGTAGACTCCTGCAGAGGTGAGAGGATCCCTCTTGTCCTTTGCTGAACGTAGCATTTGTTGCATTTTCTTGGTGGGTTTGTAGATTGTTTGTATGTTGTGTTTCCTCATCAGCTTCCCTATGCGGTCAGTGGTTCCCTTGATGTATGGCAGGAACACTTTTCCTCTGGGTGGATCTTCATCTTGAATCTCGTGGCTTGTTCTTGGTCTCGCAGCTCTTCTGATGTCTGAGAGGGAGTCTCCATTGGCCTGTGTAGTCTGACATGGTGGTTGTTGGTGTGGTCCAGCATTTCTGTGTTCTCAAATAATATGCTGTGTCCAGGCTGGTTCGTCAGGTGCTCTGCTATGGCTGACTTCTCTGGTTGGAGTAGTTTGCAGTGCCTTTCATGTTCCTTGATTTGTGTTTGGGCAATGCTGCTGCTGCGTTTGGTGGTCCCTATGGAGACTTGTCCACAGCTGCATGGTATATGGTAGACTCCTGCAGATGTTTCAACTGACCACCTTCATTAGCATTTGAAGGCCTGGCTGAGCCTGGGAAAATCTTTTGTTGAGAGGTGTTAAGACGTGCCTGGTTATTTCCTCTCTGCTGTTTTGCTGTTGTAATTTTAAAGTTTTTTAATACTGGTAGCCAGATTTTGTTCATTTTCATGGTCTTTTCCTTTCTGTTGAAATTGTCCACATGCTTGTGGATTTCAATGGCTTCTCTGTGTAGTCTGACATGGTGGTTGTTGGTGTGGTCCAGCATTTTTGTGTTCTCAAATAAAATGCTGTGTCCAGGTTGGTTCATCAGGTGCTCTGCTATGGCTGACTTCTCTGGTTGAAGTAGTCTGCAGTGCCCTCCATGTTCCTTGATGTGTGTTTGGGTGCTGTGTTTGGTGGTCCCTCTGTAGACTTGTCCACAGCTGCATGGTATACGGGAGACTCCTGCAGAGGTGAGAGGATCCCTCTTGTCCTTTGCTGAACGAAGCATTTGTTGGATTTTCTTGGTGGGTCTGGAGATAGTTTGTATGTTGTGTTTCCTCATCAGCTTCCCTATGCGGTCAGTGGTTCACTTGATGTATGGTGAGAACACTTTTCCTCTGGGTGGATCTTCCATCTTTACTCTCGTGGCTTGTTCTTGGTCTTGCAGCTGCACATATACACATACACACACACACAAAACACATACACACAGACTGGGCCATAGAAATGCACGGAAAGGGACGGCTAATAATAAATAAAAACCATGCATTAGTTCAGTGGTTCTCAACCGGCGGGTACCCAGGTGCTTTGGCCTACAATTCCCAGAAATCCCAGCCAGTTTACCAGCTGTTAGGGTTTCTGGGAGTTGAAGGCCAAAACATCTGGGGACCTACACGTTGAGAACCACTGCATTAGTTGGTTCCTTTTCCCTAGGCCAAGACATCCTTTCAGTAACATGGCGCGCATGCGTACAAGCTGGTATCCCCTTCGAAAAACCTGACAGGAGTAGTGGGTGGGATTTTGACATGATCTCGCGAGAGTAGGGAGGAGCCCAAGATGAGGTCTTAGCCAATGAGAGAGCGGCGTCGGAGTGAGCGCCGTCCAATGGGGAAGCGGAGCGCCGAGCGCGCCAGCAATTGGATTGAGAGCGACGTCGGAGGAAAAGAATGGCGAGAGGCCTCTTGTGGTGGTGAGGCCTTCTCCTGAGCGCCGTGCCCGGATGCCATGGCTGCCCGAGGAGGACGGAGACTGGCTCATAATCAGCCAAGAACCAACTAACTAACTAACTAACGGGAAGCGCGCCAGCTTCCTGAAGAGGAATGGTGAGTGTGGGGCTCTGAGGGATTGAGGAGTCTTAGGCCTCTTCTACTTCCATATACAATCCAGATAATCTACTTTGAACTGGATTATATGGCAGTGTAGACTCATATCCAGTTCAAAACAGATTTATTTATTAGGTTCTTGTGGGTTTTTTCGGGCTATAGGGCCATGTTCTAGAGGCATTCTCTCCTGACGTTTCGCCTGCATCTATGGCAAGCATCCTCAGAGGTAGTGAGGTCTGTTGGAATTAGGAAAATGGGTTTATATATCTGTGGAATGGCTGGGGTGGGGCACAGAGCTCTTCTCTGCTGGAGAGGAAAATGGGTTTATATATCTGTGGAATAATGACCAGGGTGAGACAAAGGACTCTTGTCTGCTGGAGCTAGGTGTGAATGTTTCACCTGACCACCTTCATTAGCATTTGAAGGCCTGGCTGAGCCTGGGAAATCTTTTGTTGAGAGGTGTTAAGATGTGCCTGGTTGTTTCCTCTCTTGTTTTGCTTTGTATTTTAGAGTTTTTTTAATACTGGTAGCCAGATTTTGTTCATTTTCATGGTCTCCTCCTTTCTGTTGAAATTGTCCACATGCTTCTTGTGGATTTCAATGGCTTCTCTGTGTAGTCTGACATGGTGGTTGTTGGAGTGGTCCAGCATTTCTGTGTTCTCAAATAATATGCTGTGTCCAGGCTGGTTCCTCAGGTGCTCTGCTATGGCTGACTTCTCTGGTTGAAGTAGTCTGCAGTGTCTTCATTGCCCAAACACGAATCAAGGAACATGAAAGGCACTGCAGACTACTTCAACCAGAGAAGTCAGCCATAGCAGAGCACCTGATGAACCAGCCTGGACACAGCATATTATTTTGAGAACACAGAAATGCTGGACCACACCAACAACCACCATGTCAGACTACACAGAGAAGCCATTGAAATCCACAAGCATGTGGACAATTTCAACAGAAAGGAAGAAACCATGAAAATGAACAAAATCTGGCTACCAGTATTAAAAAAAACTCTCAAATTACAACAGCAAAACAGCAGAGGAAACAACCAGGCACATCTTAACACTTCTCAACAAAAGATTTTCCCAGGCTCAGCCAGGCCTTCAAATGCTAATGAAGGTGGTCAGTTGAAACATTCACACCTAGCTCCAGCAGAGAAGAGCTCTTTGCCCCACCCCAGCCATTCCACAGATATATAAACCCATTGTCCTATTTCCAACAGACCTCACTACCTCTGAGGATGCTTGCCATAGATGCAGGCGAAACGTCAGGAGAAATGCCTCTAGAACATGGCCCTATAGCCCGAAAAAACCCACAAGAACCTAGTGATTCCAGCCATGAAAGCCTTCAACAATACAGATTTATTTATTTATCGTGTCAGGGCAACCAGACTATTGTATTACATTTCTAAAAGAGCAACGCAAACAAACAGACAAAACACAAAATTTGTGAAGTTTGGTCGTTGGTTAAATGTCCTTTGACCAGTATCTGGCCCCTTGGAGTGCCTCTGGTGTTGCTGCAAGAAGGTCCTCCATTGTGCATGTGGCAGGGCTCAGGGTGCATTGCAGCAGGTGGTCAGTGGTTTGCTCTTCTCCACACTCACATGTTGTGGATTCCACTTTGTAGCCCCATTTCTTGAGGTTGGCTCTGCATCTCGTGGTGCCAGAGCGCAGTCTGTTCAGCGCCTTCCAAGTCGCCCAGTCTTCTGTGTGCCCAGGGGGGAGTCTCTCATCTGGTATCACCCACGGATTGAGGCTCTGGGTTTGAGCCTGCCATTTTTGGACTCTCGCTTGCTGAGGTGTTCCAGCTAGTGTCTCTGTAGATCTTGGAAAACTATGTCTACATTTAAGTTGTTGACATGCTGACTGATACGCAAACAAGGGATGAGCTGGAGATTTCACTGCCTTGGTTCTTTCACTATTGGCTGCTACTTCCCAGCGGATGTCAGGTGGTGCAATACCGGCTAAGCAGTGTAATTTCTCCCGTGGTGTAGGGCACAGGCACCCCGTGATAATGCAGAATGTCACATTAAAAGCCACATCCACTGTTTTAGCGTGGTGAGATGTGTTCCACACTGGGCATGCATACTCAACAGCAGAGTAGCATAGTGCAAGGGCAGATGTCTTCACTGTATCTGGTTGTGATCCCCAGGTTGTGCCAGTCAGCTTTCGTATGATATTGTTTCTAGCACCCACTTTTTGCTTGATGTTCAGGCAGTGCTTCTTGTAGGTCAGAGCACAGTCCAGAGTGACTCCTCCCAGGTCTTTGGGTGCGCTGCAATGCTCCAGTGGAATTCCTTCCCAGGTCATCCTCAGAGCTCGGGATGCTTGTCTGTTCTTGAGATGAAAAGCACATGTCTGTGTTTTAGATGGGTTGGGGATCAGCTGGTTTTCCCTGTAATAGTCAGTAAGAGCACCTAGAGCTTCAGAATGCTTCTGTTCAACCATCTCAAAGCTGAGATGTGTTCCACACTGGGCATACATACTCAGCAGCAGAGTAGCATAGCGCAAGGGCAGATGTCTTCACTGTGTCAAAACAGATAATGTGGATTCATAGAATCATAGAGTTGGAAGAGACCTCTTGGGCCAAGCAGCCAAGAATGAGGAAAATCGCATTCAAATCACCCCTGACAGATGGCCATCCAGTCTCTGTTTAAAAGCCTCCAAAGAAGGAGCCTCTACCACACCTCGTGGCAGAGAGTTTCACTGCTGAACAGCTCTGACAGTCAGGAAGTTCTTTCTCATGTTCAGATGGAACATCTTCCTAATGTTCAGGTGGATTATCTGCTTTGATAATCCGGATTATATGGCAATGTAGAAGAGGCCTTAGTTTTTATTTTATTTATTTAAAACATTCATACCCTGTCCTTCTCGACCTCCACGGAGGGACTCAGAATGGCTTCCAAACAGGCAACAATTCAATGCCAGACATAATATAAAACACATAATAAATACATCCACAAAATTAAAATCACCAAAATTAAAATCGTCATCCAAAGCAGTACAAGTCCGGTCCAGTAAATCTTGTCTTTCCCAGTAAACAAACTGTTCTGTGAATGCTTGATCCTATAACCAGGATTTAAATTCCTTCTGAAAGGTCAGGAGGAAGGGGCCAGATCTGACCTCATTGGAAAGGGAGTTCCACAGCTGGCGAGGCCACCACGGAGAAGGCCCTGTCTTTCGTCCCCACCAAACATGACTGCGATGGTGGTGGGACTGAGAGCAGGGCCTCCCTGGATGATTTTAAGGTCCTAGACGGTATGTAGGGGGAGATACGTTCGGACAGGTAAACTGGGCCGGAACTGTTTAAGGTTTTAGTAGACCTCAAACTGAGCATAAAGCAGCAGTGTGATGTGGCAGCTAAAAAGGCCAATGCGATTCTAGGCTCCCATCAAGAGGAGGATTGTATCTAGATCAGGCATGGGCCAATTGTGGCCCTCCCTCCAGATGTTTTGGACTTTAACTCCCACAATTCCTAACAGCCTCAGGCTTAGGTGGCTGAGGGGGAAAAGGAAAGAGCCTGAGGCTGTTAGGAATTGTGGGAGCGGAAGTCCAAAATACCTAGAGGACTGAAGTTTACCCAGGCCTGCACTATCACCTTACAACATTTCCTTAGCATTTAAACCACCCATATAATAATAATAATAATAATAATCCTTTATTTGTACCCCGCTACCATCTCCTGAAGGACTCGGTGCGGCTTACAAGACACCGAGCCCAAATACAATAGTAAAAACAACTGCAACAACAAACAGCAAAATAACTCAGAAAACAAAGCAATAACATTGACAACACACAATGACACAATTAAAAACAATGGCCGGGCCAAATGTAATAATTAAAATTAAAAGTTCTGGGCATGACCAGGTGGAGTGTTTTGGAGGGGGGTGGGCATGCAGATATCCTAGATCTCTGATAAAGTGCGTTGGGACATAACGCTAGGAGTTTTCTTATTCTGGAAAGGCACACTGGAACAACCATGTTTTCAAGCTCCTCCTAAAGATTGCTAGCGATGGGGCCTGCCTGATGTTATGTTTATTGGGATGCCACTTTTCCAGTTATTTTCCTCTTCTTTAGGTACATTTAGGATACGCTTGGGTCCTTCATTAAGCCACAGATCTTTGCCTCACATCTTGGCTCTTCGTGTTTAAGCGGCTGAAGCACAAAGCGGTTTCTGCTGCATCATGACCGGCTGCCATAATGTGGTTTTCCTCTTGGACACAGCCAGCTCCTTGGAGAAGAACCATCTTTCTCTGGGTGTATTGAGGATCTTGAATTTCCTGGGCTGCAAGTTTGGCCTGTCGAGGGTCCGTTGGGGCTTCAAATTCTTCGATTCCTTGGGTGCCCAGGGCAGGATTTCCCAGGTGGGCAGCTTCCATGAGCTTGGATCCCGAAGTTGGGAAGACTTTGAGGAAGCGGCGGAGGCCAGGTTTGGCAGCCGGATCCTCAGCCCACACTTGCCTGGTCCAGTACCTCGAGCCACCCTTACTCAGAACATACTGAAAGAAACTTTGCTCGACTACCAGTGGGACCGGCCTGAAATAACCTCGCCAACGAAGCCCGTTTTGAGGAGTCAGAAGAGCAAACTGACCGTAACCTTGGATAAACTTCAGGCAAACTCTGCTTCTGAGGACTTTGAGAATGCAATTTTCCTCTTTTCTCCCTGTCCTCGTTCTCAGAGGGACTTGCTACAGTTTGCTTTTGGAAGTTATGTTCATTTGTCTGATGAACTGCTTCCTTTTCATGATGTGACGGAAAAATTCATCCCTAAGGGAATTCAGGAAATGATGCTTAGCCAGAAAATCAGTCTTTATTGGGTGGATACCACTGAATCTATGAAGGTAAGTGTCAGATTGCTAGACTACAAGTAGTCCTTGAGTGGCAAACATCCAACTTACAAATGAGTCATAGTTAAGAGTGGGGGAGAGACAACATGAAGTGAGAGAAATTTGCCCCTCGGAAGGGAAATTCACTCTTAGAAGGGTTTTCATGGGGAAAAGGTGTCTCCACTGAAATTTAATCACCAATCCTTGTGGTGCAATGAGTTAAACCCTTGTGCTGGCAGGACTGATGACCAACAGGTCAGCGGCTTGAATCAGAAGAGAGCAGGCTGAGCTCCTTCCGTTAGCTCCAGCTCCCCATGCGGGGACATGAGAGAAGCCTCCCACAAGGATGGTAAAACATCAAACAGCCAGGCGTCCCCTGGGCAATGTCCTTGCAGACGACCAATTCTCTCACACCAGAAGTGACTTGCAGTTTCTCAAGTTGCTCCTGACATAAACCCCCCCCAAACAATCCTTGTAATAATAATAATAATAATATCTTTATTTATATCCTGCTTTTCTTCCTCACAAGACTAAAGCGGCTTACAAAATCTTAAAATCATACAAACAGACCAAATACACTAATAATAAATATCAATATCATAAAATAAGCAAATTTCTTTTTTTAAAAAACTACAATATATAGTCACATATGTTGCACTCTGCTCCAGGAGCCAATTATGGCAATTCTATCAAGGTTAATATACCTCATTGAAAGCCTAAGCAGGAAAGTTTTTTATTGGTTCTTGAAAGAAGCAAGGGAGGGAGCTGTTTTAATTTTTTTTTGGGGGGGGGAGGGTGTTCCACAGGTTGGGGGAGACCACTGAAAATGCCCTCTCCCTCATCAATGTCAGTCGCATTTGTGACGGTATCTACAATAAGCCTTTTTTTTTCAAAATCCAATCATCACAGGGACAGAAATTGAGGTGGAATCTTATGAACAGGGGTTCAGATAGCAAAACAAACATTGCAGGGGGCTCTACGCTTCCCTATGCTATTCAAAGCTAAAACATATGTATTTTCACCAGGAGTTACTTTAAAAAAATGTACTTGTTCTAACTGACATTCAAATTCAACTTAAAAACAAACCTACACAACCTATCTTGTTCATAACTTGGGGACTGCTTGTACTGTCCTAAGTGACATTATGTCACTTAAATTTGTGTTCCTTTTTTCTGTAGCAAACATCTAAATAGATACATTAGGGTTGTTTTTTCTCTCTCACAGTGATTCTATGATGTAAGTTAAGCTGAAAGAGAGAAAAATGTTTGCATGATACTTTGTGATCCTTATTTGTTGCCTAAACCTAGATATCCCTCATCTGAAGTCAACATTATCTCCTATAGGAAAGGTTGCCAACTTTTTCAGTTCTGGTATGACTGATACTCTTCACAGAACATAATAATAATAATAATAACAACAACAACAACAATAATAACGGCGCTCCATGCAATCATGCTGGCCACATGACCTTGGAGGTGTCTATGGACAACGCCGGCTCTTCGGCTTAGAAATGGAGTTGAGCACCACACCCCAGAGTCAGGCATGACTGGACTTAATGTCAGGGGACTACCTTTACCTTTACCTTTTAACAATAATAATAATAACAACACTTTATTTATACCCCGCTACCATCTCCCCAAGGGACTCGGTGCGGCTTACATGAGGCCGAGCCCAAATACAACAGTACAAGCAATAGTAACAATAACAACAGTACAAGCAATTGAAATAAAAACATATACAATAAAATATACAACATTAACAATAAGAATTTAGTGAGGGAGGGAATGCTTGAGCTTATTAAGCAAGTACACACTTAAAAATAATAAACCTGAGAATGTGGAGAGCCAACTGTACACCTGGGAGTATTTGGAAATTCTGGATAATGGTTGCTCAAAATCTGTGCCTTTATTGGTTAACCAAAATGCACAAAATATGTAATGAAGCTCTCTTAGTTTCTCCATTGGGCAGAATGGTTAAAAAGACAGACAAAGAAAAGAAAACGTGACTGTTCTGGGGTCATAGGCCTACTTTCATTTCAGATGTTGTTTCTTTTGAGTTGATCTTGAGGGATTTCAATGCTGGCAGAGGTCACTCCCCTCCTTTTTGGCCAGCTAGGGGCATAGGCAAGGGACAGTAAACTCCATTAGCAGCACTCAGGATCCAGGATGTTTCTATCTTTTGTGAAGCTGCAAACCAATTTCTTTGGCAGATAATACTTTGCATTTCTCAAGAAATCTCTCTATTTCTACATCTGGGGTAGCGGTTTCTACCTGCATTGAGATCCGTGGAGATCTGCCCCTACAGACCAACTGAACAACTGAAACAACTTCTTAAACAAAATCCCAATGGTGTCACTTTTTTGTTCTCCTGTATTATTTATTTAACATATTTTGTTTGATGAAAATGGGGCGTCGGAAGTTTGCATGGAGTGCATTTTAGTTGGCCAGTAAAGGGACTGCACTTTAATTGAGTTGCCCCTATTGTAGTACAGATGTCATATATTGTAGTTTTGGATCACCACTGACTGAGCTTTCTTGTTTTGTTTTTTGGTTTCAGCTTCTTGAATCCCCAGACTGTATTGGCTACAGGCTGTTGTCTGACTTGGTGCTTCTCTTGGGAGGCACGATTTTGCCATCTGATCATTTTATCCATTACTTAAATCACCACAGAGCAGGGACTGTATCTGCTCTCCCTGTGAAGTCCAGGAACGCTGAACCAACATTAAGTAAAACGTTGCCTTTCGATTCCATTTTGAACTGTTTGTTTTCTCTCCCTTCTGTTCTGCAAGCTACTTTCCCTCCTCTGGAAGGAGTGCTGTTCCTCAGGACTGATGGTAATGAAAAGTAATAATATGCAGTTAAAAATTTTGTGTGCAGTCTACGTGATATAAAGTAAAACTTTACTGTGGTTCAGATTGACAAATTACTTATGATTTGGGAAGTTTAGCACACTATAATTCTTGCATAAATATTTATTGTTTAGGTTGATTTTATTTATTGTGTCAAGCAAATTGAGAGTGCAGTTATAGTGTATTTACAAACACAAAGTTAAAAACTTGGCATTATGCTTGATGGCCTCTGGTATTGCTATGAGAAGATCCTCCGTTGTGCATGTGGCAGGACTCATATTGCATTGTGGTAGGTGGTCTGTGTTTTTCTCCACACTCACATGTCGTGGCCTCCACTTTGTAGCCCCATTTCTTAAAGTTGGCTCTGCATCTTGTGCCAGAGTCTGTTCAGTGCCTTCCAAGTTGCCCAGTCTTCTGTGTGCCCAGGAGGGATTCTCTCATCTGGTATCAGCTACTGATTGAAATTCTGGATTTTAGCCTGCCACTTTTGGACTCTTGCTTGCTGAGGTGTACCTGCAAGTATCTCTGTTGATCATAGGAAGCTATTTTATGATTTAAGGCATTCGTTCACTTGCTGATATCCAAATAGAGGATCGACTGGAGATGTCGATGCCTTGGTCCTTTCGTTACTGACCGTTTCTTCCCAATGGATGTCAGGTGGTGCAATACCAGCTAAGCAGTATAATTTCTCCAGCTGGGGATAGTGTTATCACTCTAATCTATGCCTTATGTAAACCTTTTAAAGACATTGTTCCTGCACAACAAGATAAGTCTATCAATTTATCTTCAGTCAGGCAAAAGTACAAAGCTCTGGATCAATCCATGGTTACAGAATTCTCATGTGATTGTTCTCTAATTTTCTTACCTGTTTGTTCTTTTCCAAAGCTCTTCTTAAACACTAACACTGATGTTTTACTTTGAACAGAAATAGGGGAGGTACAGGGCTGTGCTGTGACCTTGGAACCTCTAACCCTGAGCCAGTGGTGTTTCAAAGGTCCCATCAACATTTCTCTTAAATGCACTGTAACAGGCTGGAATGCAGTGCATACACAGAGCTTTCATACAGAGAGCTGGATTCTGCGCAGGACATCATCAGGACAATCCTTTAAGCAGTTTCAGCAGTTCATGAAATACATTCTGGCCCAAGGATTACATCTGGTAAGTGCCCTTTTCAGTTATAAACAACACTTATCATGAGTACAGTAGTACATACAGAAGTTTTCAGTGGGATTTTGCTTTAATTTAATGATGAAATGAGAACATTGATAATGGTAGGGCAAATATAAGTTATTACATAGAAAAATGTTGAAATACAGTAAGGTCAATCCAGATTAAAAGAAAAAAAGGGACATTCCTATAAGTAATAGTAATTTATGTGAACATTGGATTGCTGTGAGTTTTCTGGACTATATGGCCATGTTCTAGAAGCATTCTCTTCTGACGTTTCGCCCACATCTATGGCAGGCATCCTCAGAGGTTGTGAGGTCTGTTGGAAACTAGGAAAATGAGGTTTATATATCTGTGGAATGTCGTGGGTGGGAGAAAGGACTCTTTTCTGCTGGAGCTAGGTGTGAATGTTGCTCTCTTTCTTTCTTTCTTTCTTTCTTTCTTTCTTTCTTTCTTTCTTTCTTTCTTTTTTCAAGGTTGCTGAAGTTTATCAGTTTGGAGCCTCTTCTCCCTGCACTGGAATTTTCTCCTCCATCTCGGATTCTACCGCAATTCTTTCTATTCTCTCTGCTGAGCAAGCTTCTGAGGTGGAGAAATTCCTTCTTCAGACAACTGGGGAGTGTCATGTCACCAAAGATGATGACTTATGTGTCCAYGAGATTGTGAGCAATGTCCTTAAACAAGGATGTGATGACTTGGAAATAAATCAMATGGGAAGTTCTGGTGAGTTTGTTTGCTTGTTTGTTTAAAACTTTCAGTCTCAGATTTGTCCTTGGTATCCATCCAAGAAAAACCTGAAAACCTGGCTATTCTGATGTSCCTTTGGAGAGTGGCCATTTATTCCATTTCTGTTTGCTCCAGCTATAGTGTTACCCCTATGATGCATTTCCCCCGTCCTAAACTGAAAGCCTTACCCCACTGTTTTATCATTCTTAGGCTCCCCTCACTTACATATTTTCTGTTCCTACCTCACCTAGGGGTTTTATCATTGTATCTCGTCCATTTGGCCTGCCTGTCCTCTTCAATTTTATATTGTGTTAATTTGCTTTCTTCATTTTATTTTGCTACTGTAACTATTTTCTGATGTAATATTTTGTTCTCTGCATTCTGTATTTTATTGTGCTGTATTGTGTTTTTGGGCTTGGCCTCATGTTAGCCGCCCCGAGTCCCCATCGAAGAGATGGTGGCGAGGTATAAATAAAGATTATTATTATTATTATTATTATTATTATTATTATTATCATCATCATCATCATCCTGTATTGTTTCACCCATGTCAACGTTACAGAGAGTTTTAAAATTGAGTGTCTGTGTTGTCATTACTCAAGAATACTCGAGTTTTATGTTGTTCTGCCTGACTTGAAGGTGTGACCTAGAATACTGAACATGACAAGAGATGTCAATAAAGTTTCTTAAAGCTTATTTTTAAAACATCCCTAGTAAACTTTCAAAGAACCCCTAGATTAACACAGCTTTACATATGCTGATGTTTTGCTACTCCAGAATTAGAGCTATTTTATGAGAACCAAACTGAATGGAATGTTTCTAATGCTTTTGAGAATGCCTAGTCCAGGGGTCCTCAAACTAAGGCCCGAGGGCCGGATGCGGCCCTCCAAGTTCATTTATCTGGCCCTCGCTCAGGGTCAACCTAAATCTGAAACGACTTGAAAGCACACAACAACAACAATCCTATCTCTTCAGCCAAAATCAGGCACACACTTCCCATGGAAATACTAATAAGTTTATATTTATTAAAATTGTTCTTCATTTTAATTATTGTAATGTTTTAAGTGGTTTTTTTTTTTTTGCACTACAAATAAGATATGTGCAGTGTCCATAGGAATTCATACATGTATTTTTTTCCAAATTATAATCCAGCCCTCCAACAGTTTGAGGGACTGTGACCTGGCCCTCCGTTTAAAAAGTTTGTGGACCCCGGGTCTAGTCCCTAGTTAACTATGCAGTTGTTATGCAGCCTTGCACTTGATCCCATGCCATCTTCCCAGGGCTTCAGCTTTGCATTTATCCCATTCCCAGTTCATTTGTTTACTGCCTAGCCATGTTTATACTACCTTATTGCCATTGGTTTAGGAGCACTGTTTTTAATTGGGAGTTACTCTTCTATATATTTTTATGGCTCGAGAGCAGTACGTGTGAAAAAGATCTTGGAGTCCTCGTAGACAACAAGTTAAACATGAGCCAACAATGTGATGTGGCGGCAAAAAAAGCCAATGGGATTTTGGCCTGCATCAATAGGAGCATAGTGTCTAGATCTAAGGAAGTAATGCTACCCCTCTATTCTGCTTTGGTTAGACCACATCTGGAATATTGTGTCCAATTCTGGGCACCACAATTCAAGAGAGATAGTGACAAGCTGGAATGTGTCCAGAGGAGGGCGACTAAAATGATCAAGGGTCTGGAGAACAAGCCCTATGAGGAGCGGCTTAAGGAGCTGGGCATGTTTAGCCTGAAGAAGAGAAGGCTGAGAGGAGATATGATAGCCATGTATAAAAATGTGAGAGGAAGCCACAGGGAGGAGGGAGCAAGCTTGTTTTCTGCTTCCTTGGAGACTAGGACGCGGAACAATGGCTTCAAACTACAAGAGAGGAGATTCCATCTGAACATGAGGAAGAACTTCCTGACTGTGAGAGCCGTTCAGCAGTGGAACTCTCTGCCCCGGAGTGTGGTGGAGGCTCCTTCTTTGGAAGCTTTTAAGCAGCGGCTGGATGGCCATTTGTCAGGGGTGATTTGAATGCAATATTCCTGCTTCTTGGCAGAATGGGGTTGGACTGGATGGCCCAGGAGGTCTCTTCCAACTCTTTGATTCTATGATTCTATGTTTTATTTAATTGTATTTTAAATGGTTTTAATTTTATGTTCTGTTTTTAAGCACCTTGTGCCGTGTATAATCTCAGAGTCTCTTCGAGGAGATGGTGGCTGGATATAAGAATAAAGTTATTGTTATTACTATTATTGTTTTGAATATAGCTTTCTTTAATGAGTAATTTCACTACAAGTACCGTCATACTGTCAGAAAGTGAAATCCTGTGCACACTTGCTTACTGTAAAATCTACCGAATTCAGGATTGACTTGTTAGCAGACAGCCATATATTTGAGGCAGCTTCCTGAACTATTGATAGTTACTTAATATTTCTCTTTATTTGTTGTTTTGGTTTCAGAATGTCAAGAGGAAATGTCATTTCCAGAGTGGGCACAGCAGGAGCTATCCCGCACCCCATGCTGGAGTCCTGCAGTGATGGAAGGCTGGTACTCTCTATCAAATTTCTGTGGAGCAAGTTCTCATTTGATGGAGTCATTCAGGTAATTCCATTTTTCTTCACCTTTAGAGTCAGTCTGATATTTAGAAGGGCAGGTTTGGTATTTGGAATGCTTGTTAGTTAGCATACTCCTATGTGGCACATCCACATCTGCAGGAAAGTAATTGTGTTTCCTATAAATAGTCTTTCCATCATAAGATGATGTAAAGTTAGACATTTGTAAGTAAAGCTGAAAAATCCCAACCATTTCTTAAAGAAGTGGTAGACAATCTCCAAGGTTTTCCCTTGACATTAAGTCTAGTCGTGACTCTGGGGTGTGGTGCTCATCCCCATTTGTAAGCTGAAGGGCTGGCATTGTCCATAGATACCTCCAAGGTCATTTGGCCAGCATGACTGCATGGACCGCTGTTACCTTCCTGCCGAAGCGGTACCTATTGATCTACTCAGATTTGCATGATTTTGAAATGCTAGGTTGGCAGAAGCTGGGGCTGAAAGTGGGAGCTCACCCCGCTCCCCAGATTTGAGCCACTGAGCTTTCGGCCAACAAGTTATCTACAGTTATATGTTATTGATTTAGATATGTGATATTTTTATATATATGTGAGGCACTGAATTTGCCATTGATTATGTTTTAAACAGCTTTGAGTCCCCCCAGGGGTGAGAAAGGCGGTATAGAAATATAGTTAATAAATAATAAATAAATAAGTTCAGCAGTTCAGCGGTTTAACCTTTGTGCTACCGGGGGCTTCGAGTATAAATCTGCCTTGGAGCAGCACCAGATCCAGGCTCTATTGTTGTGTTGTTGTTCATTCGTTCAGTCGTCTCCGACTCTTTGTGACCTCATGGACCAGCCCACGCCAGAGCTCCCTGTCAGCCGTCACCACCCCCAGCTCCTTCAAGGTCAGTCCAGTCACTTCAAGGATGCCATCCATCCATCTTGCCCTTGGTCGGCCCCTCTTCCTTTTACCTTCCACTTTCCCCAGCATCATTGTCTTCTCTAGGCTTTGCTGTCTCCTCGTGATTGTTGTGTTACGAGGTGGAATTATAATGGATTTGATATGGTTGCTACCAGGAAAGATAATTTGCATTTTGGCACAAATGTTAATACAGCAAAACACTTGAAAGTTGCATAAGTGTTTGGTGGAAACATCTTTTGCAGGAATTACTGCTGCTAATCTTGTACAATTTTCTATCAGCCTGGTGTGTCTGTATATGGTAATTTTTAGCCATTTTTGTTAACATTGCTTCAGATGTGTTAAATTGAGTTGCAGCTGTTAGTAAACAGCCATTTTAACGTCTTACTATAGATCAGGCATGGGCAAACTTGGACTGTTTTGGACTGCAACTCCCACAATTCCTAACAGCCGGTAGACAGTTAGGAACTGTGGGAGTTGGAGTCCAAAACACCTGGAGGGCCCAAGTTTTCCCATGCTTGCTATAGATGCTAAATCAGATCAAGGTCTTGGCTTTAATTGGGCCATTCTTATGTATTCTGGTTCTTGTGGATTTAGGGTCGTTGTTCTTCTAGAAGGGGAGCCTCCTTCCCAATCTCAGTTCCCTCACAGTCAGAAACAGGTTTTATCCACTTTGAGTTTCCTTGTGGAGAGAAAAAGCAGGGTATAAATAAACATAATAATAGAATATAATTGTATTTTACTCCACCCACTTGTCCTAAATCATGATCAGTTTCCCAAGGCCTGCCAGGAAAAAAAAAAACAGTTTTTCAACATTATGTTATCAGCACAATGCTTCATCAAGGGGTGTGGTGTTCTCACAGCAAGGAGTGTTTTTGGTTTTGTGCCACACAGAGTTCTGTAGCAAGGACAAAAAAAATTGAGTTTTGGCCTTGAAGTCCACATTTGTCCTCATATTTTCTATTTCATGTTGACTTTGATATGGGGTTTTTAGCAACGCCTGTCTACAATCGCTTTCCCATAATTGTCATTTGGACAGTTTCAACTAAGCTGCAGATCCCTCCTACTCTCCTTATTCTTCAGCATTACTATTGGTCTTTTCATTGCTTATGGGAGTAATGTCCTCTTTAACTTCTCTAAGCATTCTCATCCAAGCCATATTCTTTCCATTTTATGATAATGGGTTTAACAGTGCTCTAGAGAATGGTTCTCAACCTTCCTAATGCTGCAACGCCTTCATACAGTTCCTCATGTTGTGGTGACCCCCAATCATAAAATTATTTTCATTGCTACTTCATAACTGTAATTCTGCTACTCCTATGGCTCGTAATGTAAATATCTGATACACAGGATGTATTTAATTCACTGGATCAAATTTGACACAAACACCTAATACGCCCAAATTTGAATACTGGTGGGGTTGAGGGAGGGTTTTTTTTTTTCATTTGGGAGTTGTAGTTGCTGGGATTTATAGATAGCCTATAATCAAAGAGCATTCTGAATTCCACCAACATGGAATTGGACCAAACTTGGCAGACAGAACTCCCACAACCAACAGAAAATACTGGAAGGGTTTGGTTGGCATTGACCTTGAGTTTTGGAGTTGTAGTTCACCTACATCCAGAGAGCACTGTGGACTCAAACAATGATTGATCTGGATCAAACTTTGCACGGATACTCAATATGCCCAAATGTGAACACTGGTGGAGTTTGGGGAAAATAGACGTTGACATTTGAGAGTTGTAGTTGCTGGGATTTATTGTTCACCTACAATCAAAGAGCATTCTGAACCCCACCAATGACAGTATTGGGACAAACTTCACACACAGAACCCCCATGACCAACAGAAAATACTGTGGTTTCTGATGGTCTCTGGGGACTCCTCTGATACCCCCTCATGATCCCCCCCCCCCCGGGGCCCCGACCCCCAGGTTGAGAAACACTGATCTAGAGAAACTTCATGGCTGGGATTTTTTAAATATAACCCAACCCTGCTATTTGGATTCCCAGAAGCAGGTGTGTTCAACCTCAGATGATACGGCACTAGAATTGGAAAGAGATCTCACTGTTCAGGTGATTTATGGAGAAAGTGGGTTGCATTTATTTAGAAGTATCATAGCAAAGAAGTAAATATTGATGCAGCCATCACGTGCTGGTTTTTATTTAGGTCACAATGCTAATATTTTGGACCCCCATAATATTTGATATTTTATGGACATCAGATAGTAACAGTGCCATTTAAATCCATTTTCCAAGCCAAGTTGTTATTCAACAAACTGTCAAAGTCTAAGAGGACTGAGGATAATAATAATAATAATAATAATAATAATAATAATAATAATAATAGACTTTATTTATATCCCGCCGCCATCTCCCCAAAGGAGACTCAGGGCTAACATGAGACCAAGCCCAGAATAACAGTACAATAAAATAAAATACAGACAGCAAATAATAACGTCAAAATAAAATACATAAAATAACAGAAAATGAAATAAACAGATGCAAAATAACGTGATGAAGAAATAAAATAAAAGCATGATGGGTGGGCCAAATGCACAGAATAAGATTGATAAAACCCTGGGTGAGATAAGTAAATGGAGAAGTATGTGTCTGTGGAGGAGCTCAGAAGGGGCGAACAATGGGATTGAGCCTTCATTAATGACAAGGAAAAGTGTGTCATGAGGACAGAACTATAGTTGGGACAGACATGATATGGTGATATGTGTTTACTCGTCAAAGGCACGCTGGAAGAGCCAGGTTTTTAGGTCTTTCTTAAAGGCTGCCAGGGTGGGGGGTTGCCTAATCTCACTAGGTAGGATACTACTTGTATATATTTTGCATGGGAAAAAAGTGCCAAACCTCAAATTATATTATCATTCAAATCAAATAAGATATATAGTAGAAAGTTTAGCAAAGCAAAAGAGCTTGGAGTGGCTGGAAGAAAATGATAAAATATTAGAACTGAAATTAGAATACATTTTTATAGGGGTTATAGAGAAAAGGGTAAAAAGAAATGGTATAACAATTTAAACAATCCCCTTTTAAAAATATTTTAGAGATTTGGGGGAGATATAAAAAAAACCCTAAAGGTATTTCTCCTATCATGCCAGTTTTAATGACAGAAAACTTCCCAGAAAATTTTAAAAAAAGAACTTGAAGTAGAACTTAATGGAAGAGTATTAATGAAAGTAAAAGACTGGGATCTGAAAATGGTAAACATGGAAAGAATAAAAGAGGAATTGGGAGACTTAGATTGGTACAAGTACCTAAAATTGGGTAAATGGTCAAGTGATATAAGGAAAATGTATGATGGAGGTAGGGAATATACAAAAATAGAAAAGATGATAAATCAAAGGGAGACTAAAGAAGAGAATATAATATTAAAAGGCACAGTAAGTGATATCTATAAGCTATTATTAATGAACGAACAGGAACAAGATTATTTGAAGGAAGTATGGGAAACAAACTTGGAGGGGGGGGAATGAATAATCAAGAATGGGCAAACATATGGAATATGAGAATACTAAAAAATATGTCTATAAGAATTAAAGAAAATTACTACAAAATGATATGGAAGTGCCAGGGTGGGGGGTTGCCTAATCTCACTCGGTAGGATACTACTTGTATATCTTTTGCATGGGAAAAAGTGCTCCTAGTAGCCATATGATTGCTAGATGTAGCCAGTTCTTGCCTACAGGTGGGAAAACAACAAATTCCTCTTTTAATTTGGCCAGTTATCTTTCTGAGAGGTGTTTTTCCTCATTATAGGCTGCTCCTGGCAGATTCTGCTACAGAGGAAGAGGAAGTTTCCAAACCCGAAGTGGAGTTGACACACTGCTTGTCAGAATTTTACCAGAGAAAAGTCTCAGACCGATCAGCTACATCTCGACAACAAGATCACAGAAAGAGACGTAGGCATATAAAGGTTTTTTCTCCTCTGAGCTGCATGCCAACCTCCTCCTAGACTTTACAACCCTTCTATCCTTAAAATATGTCTGTCCTCCCTTTCTTCATGTTGTGCCAGTGGTATGTTTGCTGGAAGACTTCTGTAATTGGTTGAACTCCTGCTGAAGCCTGTACAGGGTTTATGGAAAGCTAGAGTAAGGAAATGGGACAAGAGATTTGTGTAATGGATTTATTTTTTGAAAGAGAATTGTAGTAAGTGTGAAGAGTCAGTGCTTCTTGACAGGACATTGGCATATTTGTATGTGATGTAATAGGCCATACTCTCTTACATCCTCAGATGATTGTATTGTGTCATCACTGCATGTTTAGCATGATTAAAGACTGTTATGCCAATGCAGCGCGCCTTCAGTTTTTTTTGTATTTTTCTTTCAGTTATCTCATTGTTAATAGTTAACATGGCTGAACATCCAGAATCAAATAGTGAGCTTAGAATCATAGAGTTGGAGGAGACCTCATGGGCCATCCAGTCCAACCCCCTGCCAAGAAGCAGCAAAAGCTTGTATGCTCTCACTGTCTGGCATATAGACATTGGGCTTTTTACCCTGCCAAAGACACCAAATACAGTTATTTCCTTTCCATCTTATAATATAATGACTTTAAGGCTTTACATTTGCAAAATATATTCATGGACCGTATTCATGTGGTCTGAAAAGTGTTGCACTTCTTCAGCTAACAAACAGAGGTGTTTTTTAAAATCATTTTTATTGAAATATAGTGTGATTACATGGAAAGTGGGGGAATATTGTGAAGGAGATAGAAAAGTAGGAAATGAAAGTGGGGATTGGGGAGGGGGCGTGGGACTAGGAAGGAAAAAAGATCCAAAAAAAAGATTTTTTTAAAAAATTAGGACACTCCACAGTCCCATGGAGTCTAATCAGAGGTTCTCCTGGGGGAGAGAAAAATAATAACAGAAATAAGGATCAAGATAAAAAAATGGATTTTTTAAAAAAAGACAAAATAAAAGCTTTGGTTGGACTTCCATCTGTTCTTTGAAGATCTTCTAGATATATATAAAGAAAAGAAAAAAAATCTTTCAATCTAAATAGTCCAGCATGCTTTCCTGCGTTACTGCTATTATAGTTCATATTATTGTCCTTCAGGAAATGACCTCTATTTTTTGTTGTTTGAAATAATTTTTCACCAAGTCTCAATCTGCATGTTTCTTTGGTTTTCCTTCGTTTGGCAACAGCCAATATGTTAATTCCTCCATATTCATTATTTCCAGTATTTTACTTTGCCATTCTTCTCTTTGTGGTATTTCTTTCTGCCTCCAGTTCTTAGCATATACAATTCTGGCTGCGGTAGTTAAGTAGTTGAAAATAATGTCTTTGTTTTTATCTCCTTTAACATCGAACATTCCCAGCAAGAAGAACTCTGGTTCCTTTTTCAGTCTTATTTCAAGGATCTTTTGTATGTCAGTGTAAATTGTATTCCAGAATTCTTTGGCTTTTGGGCATGACCACCAGATATGAAAAAAGGATCCTATTTGTTCTTCACATTTCCAACATTTATTGGATGTATTTTTGTAGAATTTTGAAATCTTTTGTGTTGTAATATACCATCTATGTATCATTTTTAACAGATTTTCTTTCAGATTGCAGGAGTAGGTGTATTTCATTTTTTGATTCCAGATCCTCTCCCATTCATCTAAGCGGATTTGATGACCTATATTTTGTGCCCATTTAATCATGGATTCTTTTATCTGTTCTGTTTCTGTTCCCCATTCTAATAATTTTTTGTAGATTTTTGTAATTGTTTTGTTGTTTGTCTTCATAATAATGTCCCAAAATCCACCTCTGTCTCCAAAGTTTAGTTCTTTATCAGTTTTATAACAATCTAGAATTTGTCTATAGTTTAGCTATGATAAGTTGGTAAAAATTTCTTTTACCTCTTTTTCTTTTAGTTCAAATTTTCCTCTCTCTTTCCTTTCAACAACCATTATATAAGAGCGGGACTAATCAAAATA